TCCACTGTGGGTTGTATATCCTAAAAATAATAGATAATGCTTTGAAATAAGAAACAAGTATCAGCGTTTTTATTATATTTTCAGGTGCCCTCAGCAAGTGATGAATGGAAAGAAATAGAAAAAAAATTCATGGCATATTGGAATTTTCCTAGATGTTGCGGTGCAATTGATGGTAAACACGTTCAAATTAAATGCCCACCAAACAGCGGTTCATCATTTTATAATTATAAGGGCACATACAGCATAATTTTATTCGCCATGGTGGATGCAACTTACAGCTTCAGATACATAGATATAGGAGGAAATGGACGTGCAAGCGATAGTGCAATATTCAGAGACTCAACTTTAAACATAGCCATTCAGAATAAGTTGTTAGGCTTCCCTGACAAATCAGTTATTATTGGTGACGATGCATTTCCCTTAAGAGCAAATTTAATGAAGCCGTATAGTAAAAACAACTTATCAAATGAAGAAAAACTTTTCAACTATAGGCTTTCCAGAGCGCGGCGAGTAGTAGAAAATGCATTTGGTATACTTGTCTGGCGATTTTCGAGTATTTCAGAGACCAATACAATTAAAATCAGATACTATTGATAAAGTAATCTGGGCTGCTTGTAGTTTACATAATTGGCTACGAATGACTTCTAATACTTACCTTACCCCACAATCAGTTGACAGTGAGGATTTAAATACTTTTGAGGTGTCATCGGGAACGTGGCGAAATCATACTAATGGACTACGGCTGGTGAGCCACTTGGGCAGCAATAATTACAAACGAGAAGCGGAGAATGTACGAAGTTCTTATGCCCAATATTTTATGACAGAAGGATCTGTTCCATGGCAATGAGAAAAAGTTGGTATTGAAATTTAACCAACCCAAGAGTAATAAATACTAATTATTATGTTTTTTTATTGAATAAATATATACTTACTAAATTTGATTTTGACTCTCTTGTTGATGTAACTTCCCGTAGAAAATCAGCTTTACCAAATCAAATGAATTTAGGAGTGTAGATATTATCGGTTCCCATACCACTTTTTTTTGACTTTTCAATTTTGGCTAATTCTTGGCGGTAGGCATCTTTAATACTTTTTATTTTTGATTTTAGCTGCTTTGGTGTCATATCCTCAACTAAACCTTCAGCTTTTAATTCTTCAGTTAATTTTTCGAAAACAGCGTCCCTCAATTTTGTATCGTGATAATTTTTTAGTTTTATATTCCATAATATTGGAAAATTTTCGTAAATTTCCAAAAACTTGCTGATGTTATTACTATTCCACTTCATGTTGAGGCTTTGTACACATAAACACAACAATCAGGTGGTTGCGAGTGAACAAGATCAAGCTTGTTTACTTGTTGCGTGTAATCATGCACACTTTTTATTCGCCAACTATCTAACTAGCCGGATAGTAAAAAAGTGCGCTAGTGGCGTGTAAACTATCTCCGTGTAATCGACCCTTAAAAGAAGGAAAGAAGCAAAGCAAGACAGAAATGTAAATCTTCACCAAATAAAAGAAAACATCTCCAAGTTTTCATAATAAATGTGATATGTTACAACAGAAATTGCATAACAGCGGATCAGCCCACGTCAATCGAGATGTGCACCATGACTTTGTGTTATACATGTCAAAGTCTGAGTAAGACCCACTTTTACCACCTCTTGATAAATTTATCCGATAGATAATTACCATGGTTACAGCGGTTTTAAGCCCTCTCATTGGCTAAGAACTGGATTTATCTATAGGATAAATTTATCAGGAAGTGGTAAAAGTGGGCCTTAGTCATGCAAATTATTGGCTATATAAGTGGGTATGGAATAGAGATGAGATGGGGTTAGGAACTAATTATGAGCTTGTAACTCATAATTTCAAGCCTCTAAAATCGCCTGGAGGAGATGAAATTCTGCTTATTTTTATGCAAAAAGGCTTAGAAGACCTGCTTCCAGTAACAATATCCCTATATATAGCTAGCAACAGCCTTAGCTATATACCCACACTATGGAGGAAAGTAAAGGTGGTTTTCATACCTAAAGGCATACAGACCAATGGGTCTAACTTCATTTCTCCTCAAAGAGATGAAAAAAGTAATCGATCAATACTTTAGAAATGGAGTGCTTGTCACTAATTTACTTCACCCTACCCAACATACTTACCAAAAAGCAAAATCAACAATTACTGCTCTCCATGCTTTGACTAGCACTTTAGAGGAGGCAATTGCAACCTAAGAGATAGCCCTATGTGCTTTCATAATAATAATAATAATAATAGTTTATTTCTCAAATATACAAAACATCTTACTTCCATAGTATTCTTGAATTGAATAAATTTCACCTTCTATTAGGTGTTTCTTCACTTCCGCTTTAAATGTCTTCTCGTCTAATTGTTTTGTTCTTGATGGTAGAGCATTATATAGTTTTATTGAAATATATTTGAAAGTATTTTGTGACTTCTGTACTCTGTGTACTTCTGTACCAGTAAATTGTTTCCATATCGTGTACTATAGTTCTGAGAGTCTATATTTCTTTCCAATGTCTCTCTTTGCGCATAAACATATTGTCGACAAGAAAAAATAAAACGGGATGGTATTGTCTGTATCTTCAACTCCCTAAAATAGCCTCTGCAACTTTCTCTATAACCCAATTTTTTACCTGGGGCGCACTAGATGCGCCCCAGGTAAGTATGCCATATATCGCCATACTATGAAAGTACGCAAAATATACATTCCTTATTTCTTCCTCCGGTAAACTTTTAGCTAACATACTTAAACAATACAGTGCCGTTGCCAATTCTCCCTTCAATTTTTTTATGTGGTCCCTCCATGAAAGAGTTTCTGATAGTGTAACTCCTAGAAACATTGTAGTATTATCTCTGACCTCCTGGTTTTGTTTTGTGAAGAAAGTAAGTGATGTGTTTTTTCTCTGTTCAGTTGTAGATTATTTATTTCGAACCAATTTTTTGTTTCATTTAATGTTATATTTGTTTTTTCTTTTAGGTCTTTTAAGTCTTTAGAACTATTTATGTATGAGGTGTCATCAGCATACAAGCACATTGAGTCTGCCTTTATATTTTTTGGTAAATCGTTTAAATATAACAGGAATAAAACTGGTCCGAGCACAGAGCACTGTGGTACTCCAGTTTCCACTGTTCTCCATTCAGAAATTGTTCCCTTCCAGTGTGTCTATTGTTGTCTTTCCTGAAGATATGAAGCAATACGTTTATTTCCATTTTCGTTTATGCCGTATTTTTCAATTTTTTTCAGAAGAATTTGGTGATTCACTGAGTCAAAAGCTTTACTCAGGTCACAGAAAACTACTTGTGTATAATTTTGTATCAAAACCAGTTATTATACTTTGGATTACACTAAGCAGTGCAGGGTAAGTATTTTTTCTGTATTAAAGTGATCTTTGCAGCTTTCGTACGGTTTTAGGTTGCATAGGGATCTGATTGCTTTTTTTGAAGGGTGAAGATACGAACTGAGTCCGATGCCATACACCAGAACAGTATCCATAACTTGCAACACTTTGGAAATTTGCAAAATAAGCTATTTAGAAGCTAAATCCCGATATATGTGACTACCAGGTAAGTTTCTTATCTATATTCATCCCTAAGTACTTGATATTACACACCGTTGTATCATTTTTTGGTGCAAATTTTAAATACTGTATTTTCTCAGCATTGATTTTCAATTTGTTGTTATGGAACCATATTTCTGCTCTTTCCAAGTTTTTATCGCTGCACCTTTTCACTTTTTGCTCCGTTTTTGCTATTGTTATAAATGACGTCGGCATACACACATGTTACCTCTGATGTTAGATTGAAAGGCAAATCATTTATATATACAGGTGTCTCACGTAACTGGTTCGTTAGAACAATAAGTTAGAACAATAAGTTAGAACAATAAATAGGTATCGGAATGTTTATAGATAATTTGTAGAGAATTAAATTCTCTTTCTGATAGGCTAAAAAATATGGGGCTTTCTCGCCATTGAATATAGAGAAACAGTAATTCAATTTTAGACCAGCCTGTATAAGATACTCCGATACAACAAATGACAATCTATTTGACAACATCTGATGTTGTTTTAAACCTATATTAGCGATCTTATCGCTTTCCTTTGCTATTTGAAAACTTCTTTAAGGCCACTGGAAGCACCCAATATTGCTATGCCATACACCGCCATGCTGTGCAAGTATCCGAAATACACATTTCGTGATTCAGCCGATGGTACATTTTTAACCATTACTTTTAAACAATATATTGAAGTTACTAATTTCTTTTTAAGCTGCGATATGTGTTCCGACCAACTCAAAGATTCCGTAAACACCACGCCAAGGAATTTAGTCTTTTGATTTGTAACGTGATCATTGGTTTTCGTATAAAACGTAAGTAACTTGGATTTAGTTGTAATTTGTTCGACTTGAATCACTTTTCTGCCTCAAGCATTGTTGTACTAGTTTTTTTCTGAAGTCTTTCAATATACTTTTCCACGTTTATGAAGGAAGTAATGCATAAAGCATTACGCATAAAGCAAAATCCGGCGAGAATCGAATCTTGCGGAACTCCTGTTTCGACTCTCTTCCACTCCGATATTTCACTTTTCCAATGAGTTTGTTGTTGTCGCTGATCTAGATATGAAACCAACAGGTTAAGGGCCTTATCTCTTATTCCGTATTTGTTCAATTTCTTAGTAAGAATGTCATGATTTACAGATCAAAAGTCTTGCTAAGATCACAAAAGGCAATTTGAGTATATCTTTGTTCATCAAAACCTCTTCTGATCATCTTAATCACTTGTCATACATTAAGCAGTGCCGTGCTCTAGGATTTACCTGGTTGATAACCGTGTTGGTAAGTCGTTAATAAGTTTTCATAAGTCAAATATTTGAGTAAGCACTTCTTTATGACAATTTCCAAAATTTTGGGCATTGTAGGTAGGACAGAGATTGGACGGATTATTCAGGTCGTTGGGATCTCCAGGTTTCTGTATTGGTATAATTTTCCCGTATTTTAGTTCTTCTGGTAAAATGCATAGAAACACAAGTTATTATTTCATTCACCCCCACATGAAACTACATGCGCAAGGAGATATGGAGAAATAATTGCCAACCTAACATCTTGACTAGAAAATATTAGAAGAAAATATTGACAATGATCATTAGTTTCACAGTAAGCAGAATGTAGTCTGAGGCAGATAAATGAAGCTACTTCCACAATCTTTATAACTATGAACAAAAAAAACTTGCCACAATGATAACATTGGTCGACGCTTTGTTTCCAAAATGCCCTGAAGTAACTGTGTCAAATTAGTTCCAGTCGAAATCCCAACATCATCTTGAATATACAGTATGTCCACGGAAAAGGTGTTGAATAGGAAAAACTTTTTAATTTAATTAATTTTTTTAATTTTCAATATCTTTACATGAGGTTAGAAAAAGTTTTGATGAATTACTTGTTCGTTTAAAAGCATGTGCCCAACAGGATGGTGTGTTTGAGTAAATAAACTTACAACTCATGCATTGTTAATTTGGAATTAGTTAATTGATATTAAAATAAATTTAATGATGACAAATAAATAAAAGTAGGCCGAATTTTTCGAAAATTGGTATTAGAGACTACCTTTTACTTTTGAACAACTTTTCCTAATAACTTATTTCCATATCTTCTCAAATAAATTGACTTTACTCTTGTACCATTTAAAGTTTTTTCAATTTTCTGAACACCGCGTATAAAGTATGTTAAATGTTTCTATCCCAATCTTACTCTAAAAACTAGCAAAATTTTTTATCAAGACAACTTTTTTCGATAAAATTAAAAATAAAAAAGTTTTTCCTATTCAACACCTTTTCCGTGGACATACTGTATATAACACCTACCTAAACCAGGACTACTTCTTTAACAGATGTTAGTCATAACCATAAGACTCTCAAGATCTTATTGATACAAATATTACAAATCGTTGTGATTGAATTGTTTCTGATAGTGAAAGTCGATAATTGAAGTTATCACTTGTTATATCAGTTACTTTTTAATGCATTCTTACTACAGAAACACGCAAATAAGTATTTATAGGAAGAATAGTTCGTATTTTTTCTATAATACTTGTCAAAGTAAATTTTTTTGGGTTTCTGTTGGTATTAAGTAGGGCCCTTATAAAATTTAGGTTGTTTTCCTGATTTCTAATAACATTTTCAGTAACTAAATAGTTGAGGTTAAAATTTTAATAAATTTTTAGATAAATAAATATACCTATTATATTTTAAATAGGAAAACTCAAATAAACGTCAGTTTGACATATTTATTTCAAAACATGATAAAACAAAACTCCCTATTAATTTTGCCAACTTTACAATTTGACAGGTATTATAGGAAAAAAAACGAACTTTATGGTGTTTCTATTCTACATTACTTTAAAAAATTAAAAACACTCCTTTTAATATATTTATTAACCTCCATCATTTTTTACTAACACAACAAACGAAATTTGAAAACTTTTTTTGATATATTTTTAACCTGGGGGCCAACGAAGTTGACGACCACCCACAATATGAATATGTATGTGATAAACAGACTGGCACCCATCAGGACCGTTATTAATCACCAAACGGTACCCATTTGGAGCCCTTTCCTGGGCAAGTTTCTTAGCAACAATCAGCAGTTGTCCCAAAAGCTAATAAAAAAAATAATAATTATTATATAAAACCATTAAATTAATCATACTTCGGCATCGCTTGGTTCTGCCATATCCAACATTGGAATTCTTTTCTTGGGAATTACCAAAAAATGCACAGGACCTTGCGGGTTAATATCATTAAAAGCAAGACATTGATCATCTTCATAAATAATATCAGCAGGGATTTCTTTAGAGATGATCTTGTCGAAAATCGTTGGTTTATTGTCAAATGTAGCACCTTGGGCCTTTTCTACCTCAGAACTCATCTAAAAACACCAAAAAATAGAGCCGGTTTATTTCAAGGTTATGTCCATATGATATTTCATTTTTGTGTATATTAAATTTTTGTGTGTGGAAGTGTTGTAATATAAATACATACCGTTGCGCGTTTTATTGGAAATAAGGGTGTTTTAAAGGTATTAGTCGTTAAAATCGGCCTGAAATTATGATACCTTATTAATTGTCTAATTGCAAATGACATTTTATTGATAATGTGCTGCCATCTAGTAGGGAGTGAAAGAATTTTTTTATTTATTGCTGATTAAATTTATCGTTTTGTACAAGGTTAAAGATTGCGATAAGAATTTGTAAATATTTTAAAATTTCGTAACAAATTTAGATTATTTTTTATAAAAAATTTTAAATTTAATTTTAAATTTAAAGAATTTCAATAACAACCAATTCCTTTTATTTTAGCAGCCCACAGATGGCGCTTTTGACAAATGTCAAAAATATTAGTTGGTTATAAACAGTTTTTATAAATATCGCGAAGAAAAGTTGCTAACGAGCACTAAAAGTGATCGTATTGGAACTTTTAAAAGTTTTCTTACACCTCTACAAACTTTTCCGACCATTTCAAGGTAAAAAAAGATAAACTTTGATCATTTACACCTACAATTTAATTTATAGATTAGAATTTTTTTTTTTTTTTTAAACATAAACATTTATTCTTCAAACAATAATAAAATTGTTCATATTTTCATTAATTTCATGAAATAAGTTAAAAATCGTTTTTAATTAAACCAAGTAATAGAAATAATTATAAATTTTCATAGATGGCGCTTCTAAACAACAACAATTAATTATATGTAATAATTTAATTAATTATTATAAGAAAAAAATTTAATTAATAACTTTTTAATTCAAAAGTAGAAATTATATGATTAGATTAATAAAAAAATTAATTAATTATAATTATATTTTAAAACAATTCTTTTTATTTTAGCACCCCACAGATGGCGCTTTTGACAAACGTCAAAAATACAAGTTGGTTATAAACAGTTTTTATAAATATCAAGAAGAAAAGTTGCTAAAGACGACTAAAAGTGATCGTATTGGAACTTTGAAAACTTTTCCTACACCTCTACAAACTTTTCCGACCATTTCAAGGTAAAAAAAAAACTTTGATCATTTACACCTACTTTTTAATTTATAGGTTAGAATTTTTTAATTTTAGTTTCTTAAAGAATGAATGTATATGTATACATTTATTCATTAAAACATTAATGGAGTTTTTATTGAGTTGTGTTGGTAGCATTGAAATAGTTACATACATAACCTCAACTTTTAAATAAAATTTATTTTATATTTCTTAAAATGGATAATATTACTCAATATGATTATTATTAGTATAAATATTAGTAAAAAGTGGTAATAATCAAAAAGAATATGGGAACGAGTTTATTCCAATAGCAATGTACCTAAATTCACTACTGTTTATACCCTACAAAAAATCAATAAAACAGAATGCCTCAAACGCCGAAAGAAGCTGTTCGAAGACTAAAACGATAAAAATGTACACGTGCCGCGATTTAAACTACACATTATTAAAATGATAAACGCCAACCAAAACATACTGTTCACAGCAACGATTTTAGCACTGTGTGTGATCTCTTTCGTGCACGTTTTTTTGTTCCCTTTGTACGATATCAACGCAAAACATACAACAGTAAAACGATACGCGGACTTCGAACAACGCATTTGTAAAGGTAACATTAAACGAAGAGTAGTTTTCAAGCATCGAAGATGTCCCCAACAGGGTATCGTAACAGTGGAACAAGGAGGAAGATTGGGAAACCAAATGTGGGCATATGCGAGCGTTTGGGCGATCGGAAGACGAACTGGATTGGAAACTTACGTGCCACAATGTATCCGTGCTGAATTAGATAAAGTATTTGACGTTTTATCCGTACCAAGTTTTGAAGAAATCGGCCATTGCGAGTTAAACCGTTTCGTACGATCAGTCGATTCGTGGAATTACACAAACCAAAGTATTATATTAAAGAAGTACACGATGGAACTGGAAATTGTTTTATCATGGGTCCAAGATATCATCCAAGAGTTTTCGTTTCGACGAGCTTTGTTGGTGAGAAGTCAAAAATTATTAAGGGAAGCTTCAAAAGGTAAATCGGGATCGGTTTTCGTTGGGATTCACGTGAGAAGAACCGATTATATCGGATACTTACAAAGAAAGTTGCATATAAACGCGGTCGGGATGGGGTTTTATCGAAAGGCGATGGGGTATTTCTTAAATAAGTATAAAAATGTTACTTTTATCGTGGTAAGTGACGATCCGGGTTGGTGCCAAGCGCATTTTAAAAGTTACGATAACGTTTATATTGCTAGTGAGAAAAACAAAGCGGCCGATGATTTGGCTATTTTGGCGTCTTGTAATCACACGATTTTTGATTATGGTACTTTTGGTACTTGGGGGGCGATTTTAGCCGGTGGGGAAACTGTTTGTTATAATTTAACTCATCATATTTCTACTAAGATTGTTCAAATTTTACCTAATTGGCATTTAATGAAATAGGTTGTTTTATTAAGTGTTTTGTAAATGTGTTTTTTGGGATTAATTAATCGTGGAAGTTGGATTTTTTTTATTGCTGTTTATTTATAATGTTTTTCTGATATTAATTCATAGTTCAAATGACAATCACAAATAATTTTGATTTATTTTTAACGAAATAGGGTCAATGCATTGGTTCTCGACCAATTAACAAAAAAATCAACTTTGAATATATTTTATACACATTTTTTAACCAGAAGTGAGAGTGGCAATATCCAGCCAAATCTATATTATTACCATATTATTAGCTTCCGATATTTCTGGTGGTTTTTATGACCCTCAGAAACAGTAGTGGCAGTAATTATTACCCCGAAAAAGTACCTGGACGTGATTTTTGATAGGTCCTCCTAGTGAACTAGGTCCAGGGACGCACATTTTTGCACGCTAGAGTTTGGGATTCGTAAACTACCTGTATACAACCCCATCTTTGTTCGTTATATGACTGCAATTAAGTCATAAAAACCACCAGAAATATCGGAAACAATAGGTGGGTTGAATAAAACAGTAGTAAATGCTAATTCTACAATACTGAAGTAAATTCTATAATTGTGAAGCAGGTTCAATTCTAATTGCAGTAGATACTTCGATATTTCCTGGAAGTTATTTACAACAAAATTAACAACTTCCTGTCTAGAATCGGCGTTTTTGAAAGTTGTTTCACCTCAGTGACGTCATCCGCCCAATGTAAAAGGATAGGGAGGGGTGTCAAACAAAGGCTTGGGGGAAAAATAGGTTGGTAGCTAGATCTGGTGACTGTTTAAAAAAAGTAGCATAGATTAGTCTAAAAAAAATTATTAGACTAAAAAAGTTAGAATAGATTGCATTATTTCACATTTTTTATAAATATTTGGACCGTTTATTTTGAATGTGGTGTAAGTCCATTTTCTCTTGTTTCGAGAAAATTAAAGGTTAACATATCTGTTAATTAAAAAATTTAGGCAAATTATATCAAGTCTGGCAATATTTCTACTGTTTTATCAATATACAGTGTGTCCCCGGATTGTGTCCCCTTAAGGTATAATTGACGATACATTTTTGAATTCAAATTCCATCTTTTGCAATTAAAGTCTGGATGTCATAAAACGAAATATAACCAAGTTTTACGTCAAATGTCCTCAAAGTACCAAAGTTAACGCAAGAAGTTTGTTAACTGTTGCAGGTAAACTGGTCTTTCTAAGCAATGTACGACAAAAGTTGATGAAGATAAAATGTTTGTTATGTTAAATTATAGCGATATGCCGAATTTTATTAATTTAGGATATAAAAGCAAAATGCAGATTTTTAAATCATAAGATTAACAAAACATTTTCGAACTAAACTAAATTAACATAAAAGCTTATTCAATGATACCACCACCAACACTAACATAATTCAGCCCTTTTGCGACATTGTTTATAACTTTTTCTAATATGGTCCAACGGAATTTCTCTAATAACTGTTTTAATTTTTGTTTTAAACGGTCTAAATTGTTATTAAAATTTTCAGTGTACACTTTTTGTTTTACATAACCCCAAAAATAAAAATCCATAATAGATAAATCCGGACTTCTTGGCGGCCATGGTTGCGGACCATATCTAACAATCCATTTTTTTCTACCAAATAACGTATTTAAATAATTTCTAATTAAAATGGTGGAATGTGGGCCGCAACCATCTTGTTGGAAATATAATTTATTGCGTTTTTCTAAATCCACGCCGTGAAGATAATTAAATAAACAATTTTCAAGTATTTCCAAATATCACAAAACAGCACACCACACATTCACTTTCTGGGAATACTGGTGTTTACAAGCTATGCGATAATGTGGATTAGTCTTTGACCAGAATCGACAATTTTGTGATGTAACCACACCATTAGTGGTGAACGATGCTTCGTCCGAAAATATTATGTTTTTTAAAAAAGTTCTGTCTTTCAAAATTTTGTACCCAAGCCACAAACAATAATCTAAACGTTTTGCTTCATCACCTAATTCGATAGTATGGTTAAATTTTGGTTTATACGGCAATATTTTATTTTCTCGATAAATTCTTTGTAAATGGGATTTACTTATACCGACTTGAACTGCCCTTTTTCTTAACGACACCTTACCGTAATCCATTGCGTTCGTTACTGCAACAATCGACCCCGCATCATGTTCATCTAAAAGCTTTTTTTCCTTCCTTTTATTTTCCACATTGCCCGTTTCCGAAAATTTTTTAACAACTCTCTTAATTGTTTTTTTATCTACTAAAAATCCAAATTTTTCCTCAAATTGCCTTAAAACTGCATTGAAACTAATGTTCCCCAATCCATAGCACTGCACTATAAATATTTTATGTTGTAATGTAAACATGATCAATTAATATTTGACAATAGGCTAAAGCTAAGCTATCAAATGATAATTGTTAGTTCACTCAGATCATTTGTTTTTATTGTAAAACGGAATATTAGAAAAAATTTTTCAAGAAAAAACTCATTTTTTCTTTTATATGCTAAATTAATAAAATTCGGCATATCGCTATAATTTAACATAACAAACATTTTATCTTAATCAACTTTTGTTGTACATTGCTCAGAAAGACCACTTTACCTGCAACGGTTAACAAACTTCTTGCGTTAACTTTGGTACTTTGAGGACATTTGACGTAAAACTTGGTTATATTTCGTTTTATGACATCCAGACTTTAATTGCAAAAGATGAAATTTGAACTCAAAAATTTATCGTGAATTATACCTTACGGGGACACAATCCGGGGACACACTGTATAATTTGGTTATATAAATTTGTTTTAGGCGTATTTTACTAAACTGATGTATACTTACGGGCTGCAAATGGACTTACACAACACTTTCAAAATTAGACAATTGTAAAAATGGTTTAATTTCAATTTTGAAAAATCAAATATTACTTAAAATATACTTCATATTGATCCAATTCTGTTTACAAATAATGACACGACATAAAATAGAAGTAGTATTTTTAATTTTAGACGCTAATTACATTGTTAAAAATACAAGATATTGATAGTATTTACTTATGCTCTGTATGTGGCAGTGTTCGAAATATGCATGATGCACCGGTGGTATATAAGGTAATAACTGCTTGATGTCTTTATATTTTTCATAAGTAATAGGCATCTTGGTACAAAGGCGCCAGGGCTATTTTTTCAAATTTTAGCGGTCTTCCAGGACGTGTAGGTAATAAATTTATAGTTTTAAATTCTTTGTCCTTCATCGATGTTTCATATAAAATAGTGTATGGAGCACCTTTGAGAAAGCTTATCCAACATATTTGCAACCAATTTACCTGTACATTTTCTAAATGCCTCAAACAGCAAGAAGCTACTTCTTGCAATCCCTTGGAAGCAATAGTTTCGTCCCACACATACATTAACTTTATTATCGTGGACATTGTGAAAACTCTCGTTTAAAACATACATATTTCGCTTATAATATGCGATTGAGATAGATAATTTGGGGTAAGGTAAGGCTTTTTGTAAATCAAAAGAGAATACAAAGTATTTATCAGGATTTTTTGATGCCAGAATTTTATTTTCTTGTAATGCTTTTCTAGCTAATTCAGCATCTTGCAAGTGAACATCATGTCTTTGTACAAGAATTGTTTTTTCTTCGTCATCAGTTCTTGTCTTAATTTTCATGTTTAAGAAATCGCATTTCGCACAGGAATCTTTACGTGGCAAATGGAAGTGTAACTTGAAATCTGGTTTAAAGATTTTTCATTAACTTAACTCAAGTTATTTTCCTTGCATTTTTCTAATTATAAATTATACATTTTTCTTATGTTTAATTCAGGATTTAAAAACATCCGTGCTGGATTTTGGGATCGAGTATAGTGACTTTCAAATGCTGGAAAGCTTTTTATGTGTTCTATCACCGTATTCGTCACTAGCTCACTAGTAGTTCTTCTGCTAGAGCCATCCATTTTTCCACGCATGTCTTTCGGAATATGCTCATGCGCTTTTACGATACGATCAATTCGTCCAGTAGATATTTGGAAAGTATCAATGAAAAATTTCTTACATACTAAAATGTTTCCACCAGAAGTGACCAGGTAAAATTTATAAGCATATGCCCTCATAGTGTCCGAATTATTTCTAGGCCTTCTTCGATTGACAGTTTCACGTTGAACATTACATTTTGCTTATTAAAATCACCTATATTCCAGAACTTATCAAAAATTTCTATACGTTGTGTTCCATTAATACGTTCTATGCATTTCTTCGAACAATTACAATTTTTGGATTCAAGTTTTTTTGCTTGAATGAGTTTTCCTCTTTTTGTATAGTACTTTTGTCCAGTATTTCGCTTAATTTTGTTTATTTGTTGCATATATTTTCTTTTATTTTGTTCTGCAGAATCTAAGTTCTCAGTAACAATATCCTCATCTGATGAAGATTCTACCTCTATTATTCTTCTTCTCTTTCTAAGATTCGTTAATTTGTTTTTCATAGCGGAATTATCTTCATCCTCTGAATCTAACAATAAGATTATTCTTCTATTTATATTCATGGGCTTTATTTCTGGGTGAATTCATTTAAAATTAAATAAAATAAATATTTTCAATTGTCATAAAATAATATTGATTTACCATTTGTTCTTACCTATATCACTATTTGATGTTAATCTCTGAAGTTTTCCATTTTAGGAAAAAAATACAATAAGTAACCTAAACTACTAACTCTTGACACGTAATATGACACATTAACAGGCTACTGATCGACAACCATCAACTAAGCCACTTACCTCTGTCAATTGGACAATTGTACAATCTTAAATTGTACAAAACAGAGGAATTTTTTAAGAAATTAAACACGGACTAGTAATACACAAAAAATTTACTTTAAATTAAGCATGAATTACATAATATCTCATTTTTTTCAAAAATGGACTTACACCACTTTCAAAATAAACGATCCAAATGTGTGTTACTGTACCCATACATTATTAATTATTCGTAACTGTTGAATCTGTCATTTTTTTGACATTTAAAGTTGTCAACGGCGTTATTTCGGCACCTACTTTGATTGTTATTTGCTGATTTAATATTTTCAGAAAACGCGTTTTTTCTCGAATCTTTTCTTATACAACCATATGATTTGATATGTTCATCGCATAGATGAACATATCGGATTTATCCTCTATTAAAGTGTGCAAAGAAAATATATGCATCTCATTTAAAATAACAATGTTGGTTGCTATAGCAACGAAACAAAAAACAATACAAACGAGCAAATATCGCAAAAAAATGCGCCACGATTAATAAAGAAACTTGTATTTGAAACATTTTTCTTTCAAACCACAAATGACGAAGTTATTGGCTAGATTCCAGACATTTGATACAACCTGTATATACAGTGTGTTAATTAATCGTCGTACTCGACGTAATCATTGCAAGTATGCAACCAATATCACAGTAAGTATACGTAGTATACGCGATTTGTGATATTGGTTGCATACTTGCAATGATGGCGCCGAGTACGATAATTAATTAACACACTGTACATATATTTATAAAATAAATGTTTTCTTTTTTGATAGGTAATCACAATTTTGTTTAAAAAAATAGGAAATTAACTTCTATTCACGTATTAGTTATTGTTTTTTACCTGACTACAAAATTAACGAAAATCACACTTATAATTTTTGGTAGCAGCTTCATCATGTTGTAAAATTTCGTACATTTTTTGTGAAACCATTTATCACATAAGTCGCAGCCGATATTTTTCTCATCATTATTTTTGATTTTTGTTGTAATTTTTACAGAATCTGTATTGTCATATCTTTGTTTTGATAATTTTTGTTGTAGCTTTTCTTCTCTAATTCTATTTTTTTCTCTTCTTCTTTGAAGTCGTTAGAAAACCGAATATGCATACATTTTTAGAGTATAGGGAATATTTTTGTTGTTATTCGAGTTTAAATCACAAAATGGTCGAGATCCAGTGCTTAACCTACTTAAATTGATTATTTTAACTTCCCGTAACTCCAACAATATGGTAATATATTTATCTATTTACATAATAATAATTAATCCCTCAATCAATGTGAAATATATCTCTACATGTTGTATGTAAAAAAATATCATTGATTAAAAAAAAAATAATTAAAAGACCAAGTGTTAGAGTATCATCTAATGTATATCACTTCGTGTAGATAGATTTTTCTTTTTAAGCACTTCATAATGTTACATTTTCAACGGAAAACCGTGCCAAACCAAAAAAAAAAAAATTAAAAGTATAAGAAATGTAATAAATCTATTTGCATTCTCGGATAACTTAACGAAATCTTCAAGAGGTCTTATGGAACAACAAAAAATAAAAAACGACGCGTTTTTTCTTACTTAGCTAGGGAAATACCCGATTATATTTTTGTTACACCATATTGACGCATACTATCGAGTAGTTAAATGTAATATTAACGATAATAATATTATTAACTTAAATATAAAAGATGTTTTCACACTCAAAAGAAGAGAAATAAAATAATAACTTAATAACTAAATGTATAAAAGGTAACCCACACTGAATATTTTTCTATCTATTCAAAAAGAAAATTAAGGAAAAAAGACACACACACACACACACAATCTGTACAATCATACGAACCGTTCAAATTTTTCTTGTTAGAAATCAAGAGAGTTTTCTTAATTAGTTTCTGTTTTTCTTGTATGTTTAGTTTAGTTATCTTTTTAATAGGAAATTAAAGAACTCGTTAGGTATTTTTGGCAACTGTGATCTCCTTTTATGTGCCAAAATTTTTGGGCTGTTTCGTTTCATGCAAAAAATAAGTATTTATTTATACAAAGTATATGTATATGTCTACTATCTACTATTTATAAAAAAAATTACTAAGAAGTCTCTACATGGATATATTATTAATATATTATATATTTACATGACGAAAAACACGACGTCGACAAACTCGCGAAATGCTTACAACTTTCTGTGATACTCTCTATGAAAAAAAAATGTATTTCAATCTATTTAAATGTGTAATAAATGTGTATTAAATTTATTACCTTTTATCTATATACACATCACTTCTTTTTCCTCTCTGTATTATTTATAATATTCCTTTTCAAAATAATTTAACACTTTTCAAATGACATTTCTAATTGACAGTTAAAAAATTTATAACCGAGAGCCATCTATTGGAGTAATTCTAAACTAATAAAAAATCTTATATTCTTTTTAAAATTAATTTATTGCTATTTTTAATTATTATTACTTTTCAATTCAATCAATGATAAATTAATTACAAAAAACTTTATATTCTTAACCTTTTAAAACACGTTTACGAACTTACATTTCTAACTTCACACTAGCGCCATCTTTTGTTGACTAAATACAAACATTCGATATTATTGACAAGGTATAAATAATAATTATTAAAATTTGCGAAATGTTGTATTGAACTAAAATAATAAATAATACAATTCGGATAATAAATTTTAAGTTTACTAACTTTTAATTAAATTAACGCTTTAACAAATCTTCTTTACCGATTGAATCACCATGACAACCAACTCGACATTTAAATTACAACAAAATAAACGTCACTCGAAGATGTTTTCAACTCAAGATTGCGAATGCGTCGGTTTTGAGTCGATTTGGAAAGTTACAAAGTAAGTTATATCCTCAAAATAATTAATTAATTATTTGAATTTAATTCCCAACAGAGTTTATGAAGTTAATAGTTCGCAAACGAATTATGTCTCGCATGAAATCGGAACAACAACACAACCTAAAGTTACATCGGAGGTATTTATTTAATTTTTTAATTGTTATTGTTTGGATTATTTTTGATACTTTTAGACTCAAACTGATATGTTTGAAATCCCCGCAACGTGTGAAGTCGATATGGAGCGCCTTTCGAAGTGGTTAAATAAGATTTACCCCACTGTTTCTAAGGAATTAAATGAAACGATTCATTCTCAGGCTTTTAAAAATTATCGATTGGATAAGAATTATGAGAAACCAAGTGTTAAACTTTTACAGTCGTTAAAAGTTATTTCAGGACAAGATAATTCTGGAGAAGTAAAATTTGTTTTAGTTAAACGCATTTATTTGTGGGTTTATTTTAGATCCCCCGTGTTTCTTCTTTATCGTGGAATTCCACGGGAAATACTTTAGCTATTTCTTGTAATTACGGTCATAAGATATGGTGTTATCACCCCGGTTTGGTTTCTTTATTTACATTTGATCGGTAATTGAGATTTTTGGAAAAATTCACGAATCATGTTGCTTAAAAAATCTATTTGAAATGACCCAAAAAACACGTTAAAATTGCGATTGTTACAAAACGTGACGTCACCTACAACCTACAAATTGTTTATTTTATAGCAAATCAATTTTATAAACTTAAAAGTAAAGTTATTTTCGCTATTTTAGGTGAGATTACAACGTATATTTTGGGATGAAACACCTTGTTTCTTAGGCTTTCGATGCATAATGACTGACTACCTGTCGTTAGATAGATTGTGTGTCAATAGACTCTGTGTTAATACGAGAACTAACACTAGACCGAAAACTAGAAACATTCGGATTTAGCCCCACGTCTTTTAAGACGGCTAAACCCGAATGATTCTAGTTTTAGGTCTTGTGTTAGTTCTAGTGATAGTGCTAGTGTAAAACTAGAACTAATACTAGACCTAGAACTAGAAAGTATCGGGTTTAGCCATGCATCTGAACACAAAAGATAGTTATTACGATTAATATTTTTCACAAAAAGGCTAGACCTGCGTATTATTGCTTATTATTTCCGTAAAACATTGAGGAAAATGTTGAGAGATTAGCATACACATTCTTCTACATTCTTCTACACATTCTGCAAGTTGGTTGAAAAAGATGTAACACATATTAGGTAACTAATTCCAGAAAGTAGAGAATCAGTTCTGAGTATTTAGACATCGTTGAGGTTGGACTTTAATCTATTGTCATACTTACAATAGGTTTTGAAAGATTCTGGTGTTATGCAAAACTCATCAGACTCAGTTTTGAGTGTTCACATAAAATTATGCAAGTTGGCAGGAAAAGATGCAGTACATTTAGAATATGGTAACTGTTTCCCGAAAGTTCAGGATCAATTCTAAGCGCTTAGACATCGTTGAGGTTGGTATTATTGAAAGCTGCGTTTTGAAACAAATTTAGCTTATGATTGAATGAAACAAGTCGTTAGTTTTACAAAAAAATATATTAATTTGATTGAGTTAAGGTTGAAAGAATTTATGTTTATCAAGATTGACACACGATTTCTAAAAAAAGGAATAGTACAACACCCTTGGCAAGTAATTTTAAAAGATGGCCTGTTTAGTCAAGTTTCCAAAATGGTACAACACTTGCTATTTTTCTTGTCATAAAAAATATTATTGCCTGTTTTTCTGCAAAAAACACGTTATTTAAAAAATTCATACTTTTGTATGTTATTTGTATCGTTATTTGTATTGTTATAGTAGCATGGTTCATTAGGAATACATTATTAAAAAAATTACTATTAAATTGCGAACATTTCTGACCGTAGTACCTAAAGATAAGATGTACGGGAACGATTTTTAACATTTTCAAAAATATGTCTATTACCACTTAACTAAGAGACATAGAATTTTTTTCTTATTTTTACCAGAACAGGTATGGGTTGGCCTCTCATCCGGTGCCCGCTTGACGTTGAGTTTTGGGACACCTGTATACATTTTATTATCTAACACTAAATACATTTATAACTAGAACTAACATTAGACCTGGAACTAGAAACATTCGGATTTAGCCGCACGTCTTTCAAGACGGCTAAACCCGAATGATTCTATTTCTAGGTTTTGTGTTACTTCTAGTGATAATGTTACCACAACACTAGAACTAACACTAGACCGAGAATTAGAAACATTCGGATTTAGCCGCACATCTTTCAAGACGGCTAAACCCGAATGATTCTAGTTCTAGGTCTTGTGTTAATTCTAGTGTAAAACTAACACTAGACATAGAACTAGAAAGTATCGGGTTTAATGTAATCTCCGTCTGAAGACGCACGGCTAACCCAACCTGGAATTAACAACCCACCCTCTGCTCCATGCCCAACCCGACATTCTCACTGATTTAAATGTTAGTTAACCTAACTCAACATGGAATTTCTATACAAATTCTGAAATAAATCAGTAAATTATGTTGATCCGAATGTCTAAAAAGGTATGTCGCATGTGGGTGATAAAGAATCGAGTGTTGTAGCAGCAATTTTTAAATCTGTAAACACAGAAAGATATCACTCAACAGAAGAATACTTTCAGTAAATAGTCTTCAGCCAGCAGTATTGTAATATCCAAGCACTTAGTAGTGTTTTGGCAGCAGTATATAGTCTTCTGATAGCATTAAATAGTTTTTGCCAACAATATTTAGCTTTCTTCAAGCAATTAGTTAATATTTAGCACATTGAAAGTAGTTAATAGTCTTTTGGAAACAATATCTTGTCTTTCCAAGCAGATAATAGTTTCTTCCAGCAGTATTTAGTCTTCCCCAAGCAGGTCGTAATCTTTTCTGGTAGTATACGCTCTGAAAGCAGTAAGTAGTTTTATGGCTGCAGTATCTCGTCTTTCCAATCAGTAAGTAGTTGTTTGTTAGCACTATCTAGTCTTCTCTAAGCAGATTGTAATCGTTTCCACCAGTATCTAACATTTTCGAAGCAGTAGATACCTTTTTTGGAAAGCAGATCTCTTTTTTCCAAGTAGTTATTAGTCTTTTCCAACAGTATCTAACATTCTAGGCAGCTTTTTGGAAAGCATATCACTTTTCCAAACAATTATTAAAGTTTTTGAAAGCAATAAGTGATCTTGGAAGCAGTATTCTTGTCCAAGTGGGTCAAAATTTTTAACAGCAGTGTTTAGCATTCTGGAAGCAATAGGTATTATTTTGAAAACAGTATTTAGTCTTTTCCAAGTAAGTTGTGGTTTTTTCTGCAGTATCTAGCATTTTAGAATCAGTAGGTAACTTTTTGAAATAGTATTTCCTCTTTCCAAGCAGTTTTTAGTCTTTTACTAGCAGTATCTAGCATTCAGGAACCAATAAGTTAAAGATCTACCCCATTTTAGGTTATCTGTAGTTTATAGATGGTTGACAACGACATTTTAGTCGTTAAACCAAATGTGCTGCGGAAATATATGGTTAGTACTCAAAAAAGTTAAACAAGGAAAATATATAAGAAATATTCTTTATTAAGTAAATTATAAAATTTATGTTAAAATAACTTAACACATATCATTATAAAATATTTACTCGTCTTGCTTTCATGCTTGCAAAATTTTTAACTTACTCACCTATATCTATACCATCCAGATATCATTTTCTATGGATATTATCGATAAATCTGTTAAGCGCTCTTGACTCATAGTTGACCGTAAATAGTTTTTAATAACTTTTAAATTTGAAAAACTTCTCTCTAGTTTTCTTACAACGTTATGATGCTTTGTTTTAAAAAAAAATGTATTATAATTACTTCTTGGTTACATGTATCTTATTCTAAGGGTTACAAAAGACTGCTAAACTAATGTTTATTATCCCACTACCTGCTCTTGAAGAGATAGTTTAACAAAGGAATAATTCCTAGTATTAAAACGCGGAATTTGGTTTTAGCGCAAGTGTATCTGCAGGTGGTGCGATATAACTAGCTTAGGGTTTTTTTATCGTATTATTTGTTTGTTTAGTTAAGGTTTGGAATGCATTGGAGTGTATATTTAAGTCTTTAGGTAAGGTTTTTTTTAATATTTCATTTTCTTTAAGTATAATATCTTTAAAACTCCTTTAATTGTATTTGTATATACAATTAATTCAGCTTGAAATTTCTTATTTTTGCTCAAAATGCCGCCCCTTCAATGAACCGCTCCTGTGCGGTGAACACCCTGTATACCCATACGTTACGTCGAAACTTTAAAGTGATTTTTCAGTAAGTTTTATATTTTTCCGCACTTTTTTTTTATTTGTAAAGGCTTATTTGAGTTATTTTTCATCGATTAAAAAAAATTATCGATTTTTAAGCGACATCATGATTCTTGAATTTTTTTTAATTAAATTATTTTATTAATAAATTTTGAATTTTTTAGTTTCGAACAATTCTCGGAAACACCCACTAAAAAATTAGTAGCTGAGACTTGTGTTTCCGTAATTAATTTCCACCCGAATTTGCCGTTTATTATAGCAGCCGGAACTTATACTGGTATAATATAATAATTAATTTTTAAATTTAAAATAAAATTTAATTTTAATTAGGTGCAATAATCATTTGGAACATCCAAAACGATGACGACGATAATGTTATAGTGAAAATCCAAGCTCACGAAGAAAATATAACCCAACTTTCTTGGATTTCCGATTTAGATGACCCAAAAATCGTGATTTTGGCTTCTTCGAGTTTAGACGGTTGTTTATGTTTGTGGAATTTTAACTCCGAATTAGAAATTAAACACAAGTAAGAATTACTTTTTAAGAATTAAATCAAACAAGCTTTTTAAATGGGGTAAAATCAAAAAGAAATTTTAAAATAATTCTAAATAAGAAAATAAATCGCTTAAAAAGTCGATTCTTTTTACCGTTATCTTGGAGATGCGAGCTTAAAAGGTCGATGTATAAAGAGTTGCCTAAGTCTTCTCTTGAACCTGGCATTCGGGATTACATACAGGGTCTTTATGGCTCAAATTTATCCTGAGGAAGGTCCCCGGATCTCTGGTAGAAAGTACCGTCGGGTTTTCTTACCCGGTTATCCGTAGATGACGCCATTTTTAGGGTGGGATTTGATCCTGTAAATTTGGTATGTTTGCGGTGTTGGTCAAAGCAAAGGGATGCTTTGGGTCCTAAATTTGGGATTACAAAACGGGGCCTATTCAAAGAGAAGATTTTTTTTTATTATTTTTAGGTACAAAATAAAATCGCCGATTTTACCAAAATCACCAAGATTATTACAAGTACCGGAAGAGATAGCAAAAAAAATTGAAAGAGGGGTTATTACATTCGATTTTTCCCCCTACATTAGAGATATGTTCATCGTTGGGGTTGAAGGAGGATTATTAGTGCAATGTTCTTTATTGGGAACTGTGCCTTTAAAAGGTTTTTTCTACATCAATTTAATAAAAAATTTATTTTAAATCATTTTTTTAATTTTTAGGAAGTACTAAAGAAGTACCAATATCAGATCCGGTTTATAAATATTTCGAGCCCCACGAAAGTGATATTGTTAAAGTGCAATTTTCCCCAAATCGAAAAGAGATGTTTTTTAGTTACACAAATAGCGGGCAATTAAGAATTTACATTTTAAACGAAGTATAAAATCAATTAAACAACATAAATTATATATTATTATAATATTTTTAGGATGAACCAGCCCAAACGATTTTTATCAACACTTTCCTCGATTTAACATTTATCCCATTCCATGAAAAAATCATCGCCGGTTGCGGCTCAAAAGGATCAATAGAAATTTTCGGGTTGCGCTCAACAAATTCGCTTCATTCGATTGAAAATTCCAATTTTGAAATTACAATGACACGAATGGAATTAAACCGATCTAGAGTTTCTACGGTTGCTGTGGGAAAAAATAACGGCGTTTTGGAGTTATGGAGTGTTCCATGGAGTTGTTTTAATCAAGAAGAAAATTAATTTGAGGTTATTGTTTTTTTATTAATTAATAAAAACGAAACCCGGAGAAAATAAATATTCCAAATTCACCTATTCTTTAAAAATATGATGTTGATCCGATTATTATTATTTTTTATTGAATACCAGGTGAAAATCATGTAAGCTAGCTCTAGGTATAGTGCAAGGAACAGTCCCAGGGATCTTTAATAGGAGAACTTGGGTCTGATTGTATGTCGACCTCCCACCGTAAGATGGCATTAGCGTCTATACTGAAATAATTTAATTAAACTAACAATTTTATTATGAATAGTGGGAATGATGAGAGACAGCAATAACAATTATTATCAGTATCATTCTTTTAATTTAAAAAGTATAGATTCCAATTCGTGTTATATTTTTAAATTTGCCGCTAACTTCAACTTTTAAAAGTTGACGTTTGTTCAGAATGACAGATGTAAACGTCATTTTAAAGTGATTTTTCGGTAAGAGTATAATAAAGTAATAATGGTATGATTAAATAATTAGATTATAATTGACATTATAGCTTTGTTTCAGCTAACGTTATAACTGGTTGGAAGCTCGTCAGATGCTTTATTATTTGACAGGTGTAATTGCCATAGGTAATTGGATCTAAGGAATTCCCAACCAGTCGGAACGTTAATTGGAGCCACTATAGTGGCTCCAAACACTTTCCAAACAGTTATTCTGTGGTTGGAGCTTTTATATATAAACCCAATCTAACCTGTATTCTAGTGGTTCGGTTCTTAGCTGAATAATTCCAAAATATCCCAACAGATGGCGCCACATGCGTTCAATTTTTAGTACGAAGCTATTTTCTATGTTTTTATTTATACAGTTATTTCACTTAAGAAGCAATACACAAAAATATAAAGATATTAAAAAAAAGCGAGATAATCGTAAAAAATTTAAATTGTTTTAAAATTAACAAAAATTAGGTTTGAATTGATAAAAAAATCGAAATAAAATTTTATTATTTTAAGGTTATCCAACTTGACTCGGTTACCATGGTTACCATGGTGATTAAGATCCAGATATTGCAGTTGCTTGTCAAAATTGACGTTGAATTTAAGTTTTCTTAATGAAAAACACAATTAATTGGATTTGAAGGTTGTATTTAATTCAAAATGGGTGAATAGATGAAATTATAAGCAAGGTAAGTGGATTAAATCAAAAAAAAAATATTTTTAGATCAATTAAAATGTATGTACAAGAATTTAGGGTTAAATAACAATTAAAATTAGAACTAACACTAGACCTAGAAAGTTTTAAGTTTAGCCGGGCATCTTAAAGGAATGTTTATAGATAATTTGTAGAGAATTAAATTCCCTTTCTGACAGGCTAAAAAAATTTTAAATGGAACGCCCCATTTAAAATTTTTGACTTTCTCGCCATTGAATAATGAGAAAACGAAAAACGCTAGGTACCAATAACTTTTATCAAAGTCAACCTATTTTCTACTTACAATTAAACGGTGTATAAAAACTAGCATTCCATTTAAAATAACGAAGTTGTGGTCTACTTCCGGTAGACTGGAAGTGGCGGCCATCTTGAAAATATTTTAGATCGAAAGTTCCGAATGAACAACCCATGCTACCAAAATTTCAAACCTCTACGAATAGTGGAACTTGAAAAAGTTCTAACGAACCAGTTTCGTAACATTTTAAATCTGAGGTTAGCTATCATATAATAGACAAATGGACAACTTCATGGTATTCTTTATTAAAAAAAACATTTAAAATAAGTACAAACACGGCATATTTATCTCAATATTAATGAAGTTATGGATGTCAACTTCCGGTTATGAATGTCAATGTCAATTTTGACATATTTGTAATGGTCGTAAAAAATCCTTTAAAATGAGTCCAAACATGATACGTTTAATTCTAATATTAAATTCTTCTACAACCATAAAATAATACACAAAATAATCTTTGCACTTGAAGGAAGAGCACAAAAATCAATAATGAATTATATAACATACACAAGATCAATGAGATATGCAGTACGTGACATTAAAATCATTAGAGGAGCAGAGTTAAAGACAGATTATTAATAACGGATACAACATTCACAACACCAAAAACACAGACGTCTTGAGATCGTGGAGTTGTAAACGAGCGAAAAACGGGAAGAGTACCAAAAGAAGTTAACATATAACTTAATAACATTGGAATAATAAGGAAATAGACAAGACTGGAACATACACGTGAAATGGCAAAAGATAAAATCATAATCAAAATGTGAAATCTACTTGTAGTAAATGTTAAGGTTAAGATTACAAAAGAACAAAGGATGTAGCAGTCCTTGGTTTTGTAGTTGTGGAGTTTTTATAATCAAGCAAAAAGTTAATTTGATGTTTTTTATTAATTAATAAAAAAATATATAAAAGCATATATATATAATGATGTTTAACGGTCAACATCTCCAAATACAACGTCTATTGTGCCTATAACCGCTACAATATCAGCCAAATAAGCTCCCGTTCCCATCAGTTTATTCATTCCAGCCAAGTGAACAAAACCTGGAGCTCTTATGTGGCATCGATATGGTTTTGATGTACCATCGGATACAATAAATATTCCAAATTCACCTATTATTTAAAAATGTGATATTGATCCTATTATTATTATTATTATGTGTAATTGGACCGCGTTATACATCACTTGACTAAGCGAAATTTTATCGTTTTGAGAGATTTTCATGTTGTCTGGTAGGTAAAGGTGTAACTTATCTTAGAAACAATGCAGAATACCGAAATACCTAAAATACGATTTGTTTTAAAAGATAAAGCTACGCGACAATACGATTTCAAGTCCGATTTGCATCATACGTCTAGGAACTGACTTAGATACACCAAGAAATTCTACAATTTGAAAAAATAGATAAACTTTTAATTTTGTTATATTTGTAATAGTCGTAAAAAATCCTTTAAATGAGTCCAAACTCGACATATTTAATATTAATGGAGATACAATCACTTCCGGTTTGAAACGTCAATTTTGACATATTTGTCATCTTCATTAAAAAACCTTTAAAATGAGTCCAAACATGATGCATTTATCTCAAAAAACAAAAAAGTTAGAATAAAAAACATTAAACCCGAAGTTAGCAACAATGAAGATAGCAATTTAATTTTTAAATATTAATACCAACCTTAATTTTTTATTTTTTTT